ATGATAAGTCATCAAACAAGATTATGATAGATACATGTTTTAATGTACATGTATATGTATGCCGTCCTGTATGCCCTGATTGGCCTTAATTAAAAACTCGGTAGTTTTTTTTTGTAGCAAGCCAAAATTGTGTAGAATACATGTGAAGTAGAATTTGCTACATTGATGCTACCAGAGAATTTACATTACAAAGCTGCTCAAAAATCTGGTCAAAGTCTATGTACTATAACATGCACTGATGTTGTGTAGAAAGCTTGCTATCAAAATTGGATATTTAATCAGTTTTAAAGTTACTCTATATTAAAGCATGCTTTTAGCTCACTTAGCATGCTTTATGGAAAACCCTGATAAAAACGAATTTGGCATAATACTGTAATATTTCAGATGTGATCATGCCTTTGCATATACTTATCTATTTATTTATTTATTTGTTTATTTATTTATTTAGTTGTTCTTGATTCCTCTCTTCCTGCACTATTATCAACTGGTACTATTCCTATCATTACTCACCTCATCAGTTACTCTCTGCCAACCAACAAATCCACATTCAAAAGTCGTCTCTCCCTCCTCCTACCATCTCTCAGCTCTCACTTCACTCCTTCTCTATCAATTTTATTAACCCTCCAATGCTTCAATCAGAGTCACGCCATTTTAAAATTATGCGAGCGGCTTCAAACAGAACCTCCTCCTCAGCTAGTGGCCATGGGAACAAAGAGACAGAATGAGATTCGTAGGAACAACCCGTTATGGGGCGTGTGTCATCAGATTAAGTGTTACGGAAACTGTCGGTGAGTGACGTGTTTATTTTTAACTATTTTTAGTGAGTGTTTGGTTTATTGTGTTTCTAGTAAAGTTGATTGTATTCATGTTCATTTGTTTGAGGAGCTGTCTGACATCAGACCAAGCAAGCTTTCACCAGCTTTAGTTCCTACTGATGGAGTAGTAAAGGTGATGAGAGAGAGGGGGGAAGGGAGGGAGGGAGGGAGAGGAAGGGAGGGAGGGAGAGAAAGGAGGGAGGGAGAGTGAGAGGGAGGGAGGGAGAGGAAAGAGGGAGGGAGAGGGAGGGAGGGAGAGGAAGGAGGGAGGGAGGAAGAGGGAGGGAGAGGGAAGGAGAGAAAGGTAGAGTGTGTGAGAGAAAGAGAGAGGGAGATAAAAGAAGAGTTAGAACTGATTTAAATCATCATTTCATTTCTCATAAGGTTCTTGTTAAAACTGTCGCTTCACCCTGTCACCTCTGGGTTCAGATCATCGACCACACTCCTCTCCATCGTGGCCAGACCCCATACAGGCCACCTACCCTCACTCTATCTCAGATCTCAATGGATCTTGGCTTTTATTACAGTGAACCCAGTAATCGGATGCTGTGTGGCCAACCATCAGTTGGTGACTACCTATGTCTTAATTCAGTCAGTGGTACCTACTATAGGGCTTTAGTCCTGGATTTCTCACAGCCTCTTGGTCTCTACTTTCATCATAAAGAGAAAGCCAAGGTATGGGAATGATAATTATCATAACACGTCAAACTGGTTTCGTATACAGGTCAGACTGGTTGATACTGGTGAAGAGTGCATTGTTGATGTTAATCAGCTCTACACTCTGCCTCTCTCCTTTTTGGAGACTCCTCCACTCGTTATTGAAGCATTTTTGTGTGGCCTGATCCCACCAGATAATGATACTGACTGGCCCCCACCAGTAAGTGATGTAATAGCATGACAAGTTATCTTGAACATAAATTTCAGTTATACATAAACCACGTACATGTTTAGATTGAAATATTTAGCAGTATAAAGTTTCCTAT